AATAGAACATACGAACATAGCCAATGAATTCAATGCTTGATTCAGCCACATAATAACCAGGAATGAATGAATGGATGGAAATACAAAGTATGTGGTGTGGAGTGGGGGGTGAAGCGAGTGTAGAGGAGAATGTAAAATGTTGCAGTGAGAGCTTGTAAGACAGTAAGGCCTGCTCTACTGTCACACTGCTTGTTAGCGTGGCCTACTTTCACACACCACCTCACACTCTAGCACATGTTAACTTTGGGTCTATCTTGAACGTGCTATTCCCCTCCTCCCTATATATATATATATATATGATGGTCTAGGTGGAAAACAATAAAAGGATTAATGAATGAAAAATGCCAAGGGTAATAACTATTGGTCCACGCTAAACATGAATACGGGATTAATATTCTGTCACTGTCTATAGTACATCAAAAATTCTTTTGTTGCAGTGGTTTGGGATCCTCAAATGCAAAAAGAACAGAAATTACAGTAGTAAAACTGATGACATATAATGCATTTTTTCGATAAACAATTGTATTTGGATTCGCTGGCTCCAGCAAAAAATAAATACAAATAAAATAAAATACGTTGAGTACATTTGGTATGTTTCTTTGGGGATGGAATAAGTTAAATATTTTACCATCTTGATACTGTACATTAACATGACTGTATTCCTTGATTGTGCGCATTATTCACTCAGAATATTAACGAGCTACTGTTTCCTAGCAACAGCATCGCCTGTATGTGCAACGGCACTGATCACACATACATCCCTACCCAAGACAAACGCTAAAAGAGAGCAAGTGAGTCAATGCGCATCTTCACTCTTCCCCTGAAGCTCCATTGCTTACTTACCACAGAGCTGCAGACCGTTCAGTCATGTGTTGGTCCACTATACCGCCTCCAGGTTCAACCTCTTTTCTTTCTATTTTCCTTTTTCTTTTTATTGTCACTGTTTATGGCCATACACAAAAGCATGGCTAAGAGCTCCTTCAAAGCACTCGTCAGCCACTTATTAATGCAATGCGCCTCTCCATCCTAGGAAATGTTGGTGCTCGGTCCAAGACGGACGCTCCGCCTGTGCCCATTCTGTCACCTGAGGCCACTTGTCTTAACTTCAGGTGCATATTGGAATGGTAGTAAGTGGACTCTCTTGGTCATTCTCTCTTTCAGTCTGGCGGCTGCTCAGTCTTGTCCGCACGCACAGCGGTGAATGTGCGGCTCAGGCAGAGGGATTATTGCGACAAAACGTTGCACTCTTTATGTCACTTTTCCCGCCCATGTAAAATATTACCCCCGGCACCACTTTCATGGATCAACCAGTAATTAGGTGGAGTGTCTAACGTAAGAGCATGCATTAACATTCATTTGTGGGCTAACTGGTGGCCACCCATCAAAGTGGCCCTTGACAAATTTTTGAAAGAAACAATCACTACTATAGCCGAACAGTCTTAAGGTGTACTAACAGTGTTCATACCTGCTTCAGATTGATGCTCATTTAGTTGAATTTCTTTTGTTGGCATTCACCAAAGTACAAACTCTGGAATTTGTGCAAAATAACTACTTTGAACTAAAATGGCTGACTTCGTGTTCATTTTTGGCCAAGAGCTTTTCATGCATCCTGCTAAGATACACACATCCCCAGAATTTTGTGTCGAGTCAAAGCGGTGTAGGGCGGCTAATTTACTCTCACTTTACAGCGGGTGCTATTGAATGAATTTCTGGTGGTCATATTTGGAACCCCTCAAATACACAATTTCACCAAGATACATGCACATGCAAAAATCGGTGCGCTTTCAGGCATGGTGTAACCGACGTGAAAACCGCAGAGCAGCAACAGGAACGCTTTTGCAGAGCAATACCATCACCTGGTGGCACTTTTGATGCAATCAGTTGTATGGATGCAATTAAATTCCACATATTTAAATATTCGCCAAGCTGAGATCAAAGAAGCAGCTGTGGCAGTATGGCTGTATTTGTATTGAGATTCGTCTATCTATAGTGCCTCCATTTTCTACACAGCAAGTTCTAGCATTTGGCTTCAGAAACATTTGTGGAATCAGTTGGGGTAGTCTTCACTGAAGCAAAGAGAGGCCAGATGCTCATGCAAGTCATTGAATCCAATAATTACGATTTGTTCCTTGGTGAAATATTTTTGAAATCGAGCGCTCCATTTTAAATGAAAACTATGTCCAATGTACGAACTTCATATCAGCGCTTTTGTCGCGAGGGATGAATTCAGTATGAAATGGTGGGGGCCAAAGCTTGTTTCTGTTGCCTAGCAATCGTGACAGACGCAGATCTAGGAGAAGCTGATGTAGAGTTGTTCATTGTATTTATGTAGTATTGAAATGAGCCCAGAAAGAACCCTGCTAATCTATGTTATTGCGGCTGTCGCAAAAAATATGGGCTTTTTTTCTTACGGTACTAATAGTAGTATGAGTAGTAAGAATAGTTGTAGTAATGGCAAATACAGCAAGTTTCAATTTTTTTTGTCAATAGGCCTACTTTTGTAGCCGGAATGATTGACACACGACACCAGCCAATGATTATATTGACTGATTCTGGAAAGTCAGCCAATGACAGTACAGACAATCTGTGCATGGGGGGAAAAAAAATTAAAAAAAAAAAATCCAACACATAAAATCAATCTATAAAACCCTCGTATGAATATCAACCAAGAGTCTACACAATCACATAAATGTTCATATTTAAAATAACTTTGGTCAATATATGGAAACCTCGTTGAGCTTCCTGAAAATGGAATTCTTGAAGTCATCTTAAAATTTCCTTCAGGTGAGTGGATGGTTAAAATCTTCTTATTTCAAAACAATTGCAGAGGAAATTAAAGCTGCATGAGTCACAAACAGAATCTTGCTCGTTACATTTCTGCTTTGATGATGAAAAATGAGAGGTGAAACGATTAATCGACAACTCATTGATTATCAACATGTTGATTTTGTGGTCCTCCACAGAATCAAAATAAGCTATTTGGAAAACATTTTTGCTGACATGTTACTGACCAAACCAAAAACTGAATCATAACTAACTTATGTCAATCTGAAATGATGTCACTTCTTTGAATAAAGACATTGAAATAAAAAAACATGTTTTTGTTTTTATCCGATGCATCGATTAATCGATTAAAAACATTTGTTGGAACTCTTAAGTTTTTGTTTGACTCTTGAGTCATGTTTTTCCATCCTAATAAACTATGTTTGAAATATACAGTATTTGGCCGAATGTATTCAATTTCAATTCCATGTCGATCCATGAAACTTGTGTGTGGCAGATTTCTTTTACCCAATTTTCCACTGGTCTTTTTTGGTGGGGGTTGTTTTCAGGAAAACTGAAATTTGTACAGAAAGAAACACTTTTTGTTTAAACTTCCAAGTTTTTGTTGCAGTTTTAAAACATGTTTTTCTCATTTTTGGAATTCACACAAAACGGCGATTTCAAACCAAAATTTCAGGCATGGTTCCGTGAAAATTTTTGGAGCATCCTGTTATTATTGATATGTCTACCCAAGATTTGAATTTACAAGTGAATTACCATGATCAAATTAAGCAAAAATAAAATGGAGTAGCTGAGAGTTTGAAAACATTTTAATAGAAATAAAATTTGGTATAAAAAAAATAAACATGCTTCACACACTTGAGTATTTTTTTTTCTTTTTTTACAAATACATAATCAGATAAGCCAGGCACTGTATCTTTTTTACACAGATATTTTTTTTTTACACCATGATGTGGGAACAGAAAGCAGACATCACCAATCTATTTAATCACGTTGAATTGAGTCCCCCAAAACAAACGCGAAACAGGGAAATATATATATATATATATATACACATATATATATCTCAACACAAACAGTCATACCTCGGTTTTCGACCATAATCCGTTCCAGAAAGCTGTTCGAAAAGCCATTTGTTCGAAATCCAAAACTATTTTATTAGTCCATGATTACACTATGCAGAAATAACAAAAAAATAGTCAGATTTGCGTAAATCACAACAAACACATCTGCTCACAATGAACGTTACACAAGGAAAGCGTCACTTCCTCGTGGAAGGAAGCCGAGTGGCGTATTCGTGTTCGCTCAGTTCAGTCGAAAACCGGTTTTCGGTCGGAATCCGAGGCGTAAAAACCTCAAATTTTCTGGTCGAAATCCGATTTGGTCGATAACAGGGACGTTCGAAAACTGAGGTTTTACTTTAGACACACACACACACACACACATACACTGGGAAAAAAAATGCAACTTCCTTTTATCACCAGAGCGCCCATGGAGGACACGGGGCCTTCGGAATGATTTTTCCAAGTATGATTTTTCCCATTAGGGATATATGGATATCACCTTCAGGGGCATATGGCGGTCTTCTCTCAAGGGCATACTTCATCTTAATTCCTCCTCTTAATGGATCTGTACAATGAGGCTTTTTTTTTACCCTCTGAGGGAAATGGCTGCTGGCGGTGATGACGGGGGTGGGGAGGCTCAACCGCTTCCGGAAAGCTTCGTCCTGCTTAATGAAGCACGTACAAGGAGGGCGAGATAACAGAAGGGAACTGTTGAAGGGGGTTTAGCTGCTTAATACATACAGAAAAAGTCAATCATGAGACCATCTCGAATGTACCCCCAAACGAGTGCAACAACCGAGTTAAAACGCATTTCGAAGAGACAGCAACAACACGACACCTGATGTAAAAACTATCATGCACAACACACTCGGTTCAATAAAATTCAGCAAATCAACAGGGGGGAGTCTGAATGCAAATTTGGCGCATGGATGACTTAGACTGGAATAAACACAGCAGGAATCCCTCCAATTCCCTTCCCCGCGTTTTTACCTTTGTGACGTCGATTATCCCGTGTTGGAGGATTCTGACACCAGTGGGCAGACAACACCGACATGACCCGAACACAATTTTTTGGCTTTTGAGTTCACTGTCAGTCACTCACTACTCGGATGGTACAAAGGATAAACTTTCGTCTTTCAGTCTCCAGGTTGACTTTCATGCAGTATTTTTATTCATTTATTTATTTTACAACACAAGATGATACCTCACAATTGTTTGGCCCGCACAAGTGCTTCTCTGCCGTCAACGTGTTGACAGCAAAAACACGCCCCCGTGATTTCCATCCGTGTGAAAATGACGCTCCTGACAAGCTGATCAGGTGGAAATCCTGAAATTGAGAGATGGTGACTTGAACTTGACTTTGAGGCGTCTATTAGATGGCATGGTTGCTGTAGCTGATGTACGTCTGCTTTGTGGAGAAGCCTGGAAAAGAGCGGGGAAACATCAGGATGTTGTTTTCCTGCTTTTCTGGCCAAACACTACATACAGTACATTTCTGGTCACATCTGCTTTAAGCTAGCTACCATTTTTGGCATCTTCAGCCACTTTTTCAATCCGAATGAACGCACACTTAGAGTAGTAAGTCCAATATTAGCGCTCACCTTGACTGTCATTTAAAGTGACGGATTAAGCCAGAAATCTCAATGTAATTATTGACTCAGATCAGAATTTTAGCAACCACATAAAAGCGCCGACTAAATCTGCTTATCATCACCTGAAAAACATAGCTTGAATTAAGGGTTTTCTGTCTCTCAACAAGAAACAAAAAAAAATGTGTCCATGCTTTTATTTTCAGGAGGATTGAATGCTCTCATGGTGTCTTATTAGGTCTTAATGAAAAATCTATCAGGCGTCTGCAGCTAATCCAAAATGCTATCGCCAGAGTCCTGAAAAATCACTGGGAAACTGGAGCACAACACACCTATATGTTACTCAAATAACAGATTTTCAAATCTTGCGGCTGATCTTTAAATTTCGAAATGGTCATGCGTCAAAAGTGCATGCCAGATGGATAAGATTTCAAAAATGTTTAAATTTTTTATTTATTTTTTTTGGGAGCACATGAGGTTTTTGAGATATTTTCATTTTTTTTGTTTTTAGTTTTGACCAAGAAAAGCTTGTACAATGTGAATTTTAACATGCGTTATAATGAATAGCTTTGCCATTTCTGAAAAAAAAAAAATTCCAATTGAAGCTAACCTTCAGTTTGTAAATATTACTAAATGTATTACCACATTATATATGCTAAAATTGTACATTTGTTATTATAATTATCATTATTATTATTATTGTGGAAACCTGATGTACTTACATCGACGATTAAAAAATAAAATGTGTAAAAAAATACACAGTCATACCTCATCTTTCGACCATAATCCGTTCCAGAAGGCTGTTCGAAAACCGATTTGTTCAAAAACCAAAACCATGCTCTTTTAAAAAAAAAAAAAATCTTTATTGAACACGTCTGTTCACAATGGAATGCTACACGAGGAAGCGTCACTTCCTCGTGTAAGGAAGGCGAGAGGAGTCGAGTGACGAATTCAAGTGCACTCAGTTTGTTCGAGAACCAAAATTCAATCGTCATCCAAGGCATAAAAAAGTCGAAATTTTTGGTCGAAAACCGATTTGGTCGAGAACAGAGACGTTCGAAAACCGAGGTTTGACTGTATATGTTTACCAGTGTTATGGGGTATTTCAAGGCTTTGATTGGAAAAGAGGGTAATAACCAAATTCAGCCCAATTGTTGGAATTCATGTATGTTTTTTGCGCACCATTCTGTTCCAAACGGCAATTAGAAATCCACAGCTGGTCCAACTTGGCGATGCCCAAAAACGCAAACAATTTATGATTGTGTATATTGAATAGGTTTAACATTTGCAATTCATGGCTTGGACCTTTTTCGAGGGTAAATCGGGAAGGAAAAAGTAGTCTGAGCAAACCCCAACCGTAAGATATGGATAATCCTGCTGAAACATAAAATAATCGGTCCTCTACTAACGTTGATTGCAAGGGATTGCAAATGCTCGAATATGGCCCAATTTTTGCTGTGTGAGTTTCTCCCGCTCCGATTTTTGGTCCTGTATGTGTGTCCATCCCGCTTTACTCACACAGAGCAGTTGATTCCGTAAAGCCCCTCAATTCCCCCGCCACCACCATTTTCTTCAAACTTTTCCGCTCGTCTCGCCTAACGGTGTTAGCCAAACCGCTGAGGTGGCACCGTTAAATCCCAACACTGCACATATTTGCAGCGACTTGGCAAGGGCCGAACCGCGCCGACAAGAATTTTTCAATTTTATCAAGTCGTAAATCCACGCTGGCATTGACAATGATGAATGGCACTTATTCAAATAACCCCACACCGCGCACCCCACACCCCCACCTCCCGCGACAACAATCCCATCAGGATAAATTGCTTCTGCTAATCAGTTGGTGATGCGAGAGGCTTTGCTCTGCGTATTGTAGCAGAAGGCCCTGTTACACATCAAATTGGAGCAAATGTGATGCTCTCCTTAAAAATGTGACCATTGATGATTTTTGATTTCTTTGTTTTTAATTCCGTGACAGCAATACAGCGGTATCTTGACTCCGCAATTTACAGCTGCTTTAATTTGCAGTCAAACTGTGAGAGGCCAGATGCTGGACGAATGTTGAAATGTTGATGCTGCCATCTAGCGACATCGTATCAGAGGCTCCCTAATCTCTTCAATTTTGGCTTGCAACAAATGGCAAAAATAAATAAATAAATCGGAAAAACGGTTTGTCAAGCAGTAGTTTTACCGTAGTTCGCAAGGTGACAAGTGGTCGCCATCTTTGTGGACATTTCTCAAAAACATGGAATGAGGACATCAAAGGCCTCTAAAATCCCCCACAACAAATAATTTCGGGACAAAAACAATTAACTGGCCCGGAGGTTGTTGGTGGATACGTTTAACTGAAACGTCCCAGCCAATCGGAGAAGGGGCTGCCCGAGTTGCAGATGAAACACAAGGGCAGAAGAGATATTTTGAGAACTGAACTGTTTGACTGGATTTTCAAAACAAAAACATTCTCTAAAATGGCCATTTATCATGACAAAGAAAACACCAAATCTTACATTGCTGTAGTAAACCAGCATATTTGCAGTTCGCTATTCATGAATTCACGTTCACATTTTTTTCCCTTGTGAACCTATCAGCTATGAGTTGAAAAAAAAAAAAACAACACTTTTTTTGTACTCTTTCTAAAACAACCTGAGATTCCACATGATGGCGCCAAAGCTCTGGCTAAAAGGAAAGTCGTAATTGGTGTCAAAGTATTTTTTTAAGTGATACATCTGGACTGAGAGACTAGATCTTTGTACGCCGGAGAGGCGCTAAGTTTCGCCTGGGTTGTTCGTGGAAATTATGGATAGTCGTGCATTTTGTTGAAATTCAATCGTCTTTCAACCATTTACCTTTCTGGTCAATTATGTTCCATGAAATTGAAATGACAAAATGTTTTGAGGACACACTTTGTGGTATTTTTACAATTGAAACTATGAATCTCGGCAAATTAAAACATTTTCAGGTCGGTGTTACTTGTTTGTGTTATTTCACTATTTGCAAAAGTGCTTGGTCCCTAGCACTGGGTGTTAATCGTAAGCCGTCCTTGCAATGACTTGAAAACAATACCCAAGATGGACTACATTAACAATAGTGGCAGTATTGCGGAGTCGCTCAAGGATTAAATGACTCCCTTCCTTCCAATTTGTGCATCAATTTAATTCGCATTCTGAAGGACAAAACAAATTATGCATTTAAGCACTTACTTTGCGTTTCCAGGCTTTCGCACAGCTCCGTCTTGGCCTCGCCGTTGGGCCTGAGTCCGGCCTTGGGGTTGAACTTATTGGACATGGTGGCGGCGGTGACCACGGCCTTGAGGCTGCGCGTTCGCTTGGGCACGTTCTGCTCGGGGTGGAAGAGGACCACGTAGACCTTGGGCATGTAGAGCAGGCCCAGGGACACGGAGGCGCTCAGGCTCACAGAGATGGTCAGCGTGGTGGTTTGGATGTACATCTATGGGGGGGAGGATAAACAATTGCACGTTAACCCTTCCGCTTCTTTTGCTTGTGTGTTGCGAATGTTTCCGGGGGCCAAGTGGCCTGCACGCTGCACGTGACAGCTGCTGTATTAGATTCACATTAGTGCGTCCAATGACCCGTTAGTCGGCCAAGCTGTTGTTGGAGTGGTTTCGGCCACGATGGATCGACTAAGACAAACCAGCCAGCACTACCCTATTCATTGCAGTTTTACGCAAAATCATGTCAATTCGCTCATGTTGGGACTCCAGAAGCAAAATAAAAAAAAAACACACTTGTTTTAAAATGGAAATAAATCAAGATGTTTGGTAGAGTTCAGCACGTTGAGCTTGTGGTTCACAAGTTTGCTTCACAGTCAAGAGGCCTTGGGTTCAAATCTGGGCTCAGGTTGTTTGTTTATATGTTGCCAGTCCACAGCAAATCAATGTGTTTATCCCAACCGCATCATTGCAATATGAAATTGTTGTACCATTTCATCTCTAATAGTACTGTTGATCCTGAAAATACTCAGTGTGTCACAGCATTACTCCCAAATGGATTGCATTCACTTTTTTCCCCTTGAACTTCTACACACATCATAATAACAAAAAATAATTTTAAGATCTCTCATATTCAATCAAATTTCGGTCTGGGCTCTGGCGGGATCACGCGAGGACATTCTTAGTTGCTCAGAAGCAACTGCTTTAAAATTTGTTTTTGTTTTTTTTTTTAAATTGCACAAACCAGATAGATAAATAAATAAATACACGTTGCTATAATAGCTTGTTGTGTGTTGAATAATTTTGGGAGCAATGCATAAAATGGAGTCCACTCGTGCATACTTGCACGTACATGCTTCCATGATGTCTAAATATTTGATCATATTTTGCCTTTAAAGTGGTAAGGCTTCCTCTTGACTGGGTGCATTTTCACCTCTCGCTGAGAGACCACCCCCCAACCCGCTTCCACTAACCCCGTCATCAAAGCTGCGTCACATTTACACCCCCACATGAGCTCGGTTTAAATGTTTTCTTTTTCTGAGCCAGTCTTGTGGCCGAGCGGCCATGCGCTTCTGCCATAGCATGTGTGAATGGTGGCACGGTCATGAAATGGAGCGTGGCCGTATGGACGGCGGAGGAGCAGCTGCGGTGTTCCCTCGACAGATGTGCACGGGGACGGGCGAGGAAATCTTTACTGGTGCCTTAGGGACTCACGCTTTTGAACTCAAGCTGTTAGTCCCATAAACCGAGACAGTCATCAACTTTACAGCGACTAAAAATGGTTTTCTGTTTATGACGGAGGAGACGACATCATCTGAATTTGTATCGAATGGACTAATGGGCACGAAGCATTTTTGCATTTGGGCTACGGAGGCGTTTTCAATTTAAAAGAAGAAGATAATGGTTGGCATACTATAGAGTTGGCTCGTTCCTTTGTCTTTGTAAAGTCACATCTTCAGAGGACAAAAAAGCTTGGAACAAAAAAGCCGGAAGCGAGTGGTATGGTGGTAACTGGCTAGCACGTCCGCCTTACAGTGCAGTGGTCCAGGGTTCAATTCCAGTCTCCGGCCTTTCTGTGTGGAGTTTGCATCTCCCCTTGCTTGTGTGGAATTTCTCTGGGTACCCCGGTTTCCTCCCACATTACAAAACCATGCATGGCGGGTTAATTGTCTCTAAATTGACCCTAGATGTTATTGTAAGTGTGAACGGCTGTTTGTCAATGTGTGCTATGCGACTGGCTCGTAACCAGTTCAGGGTGTACCCTGCCTACAGCCTGAAGACAGTCAATCAAATACCACACATCTTTCTTATTTCTAAACATGCTACATCTTTGATCTATTTAAATATAGCCACTTAAAACCTGCCGGAGCTGTAATATATCCCAGTATGTTTCAACAACGAGAAGTACGAGCCACCAACTAGCTCACAAGTTAACTGGTGCTCCTCTTGGGATGGTGGACAGGAAGGTGGTCTGTCCGCAGTGCCACCTCCTTGGAAATTGAAGGAATGAAATGTGCTGTTCTGTGTATTGTGCCATCCTGGGTAATTGCATTTTCAAGTGTTGGCAAAATTAGCTAACTACTAAATGTACGCATTCGTGGTAGAAATAGGCCTAGTAATATCAATAAAGAATCCCGCAATTGCATCAGACTACCATTGGGATGAATGATGGCATAAAGGTTGTTTCAGTCTATACTGGGGGAGGGGAGATTGATGCCGGACCAATTTGCGCACTGTGCCCCATTTTAGCCACTGCCAAAAATTGAGGACAACTGAAACGATGAAAGAGAGTTTAAGGCTGTTGCTCCACCATTGCATACGACATTACAGTGCTCATCGTCTACATACGTTTTCAACAATTAGGTTAAAACATCAATCAATGGAAAGTAAAAAAAAAAAAAAAAAAAAAAATCTTGAACTCCAAATTTTCCAATCGAAATAAATATGGGTGGACATTATCATAACAGGACACACAGAAAAGCCTCTTGAAGCCATCCTGACAAACTTGAAGTTGGCCAGTTTGGTTTGAAGCAGCCATTTTGGGTGAAACCCAACACTCCACAAGGATGAGAGAATTTACTCTAATGAATACGATGCCAATATTTCAAAATGTTTATTCAGTCATGGTAGGTAGAAAATAATTTGTGAATTTAGTTTTACACATGCCATCAAATGTGGGTGGAGCATGGTGTCAGTTTATTTTTCGAGGATTCGCCATCAGAAAAGGGGTGGTGAGGGCACATTTAGTGGTCCTCACACATTTGATTTCACATTGAAATTAGCGTTATTGATGAACCCAACCCACGGCTAATACCACCACCGGATTTGGTTCCACATGCATCACTAATTTTCAATTTGGCAAAACGACACCATTCATTGTCATCCATTAAGTATCTCATTTATTCGTAGTAAAATCATTTGCTGTTGTCATGACAGTGTTGTGACGGCTAGTGACTCTGACCGATATTGAGTTGAATGATATCTGACAAGGTGAGTCCTCAATTTTCCACCTGTTCTCAATGTGTCAGGGATTATTCCTGCATTGCATATGTTTGTTGGATCCTATTGATTAACATTACCAGTATATTTTGGTCACATCCCTAAAGGTTTCTCGTGGGTTTCTCAGGGTTATGCAACATCGTTGCCCTCCGTCCTCAAACTAAACAACATTAATAATCTACGCTTTTATTTGCATGTAAAGCTAGTGCCTGAAATTTAATTGCGAGAGGGAGGACATTGTCTTGCATACTAAAATAACCGCCTAATTTGGATCAGTTAGAATCATTCGGGAATTCATCCAATTTATTGTCATAGAAAATGTCAATGAAATTTTTCTGCGGGATTAACTCAACAAGCATAGATGTTAGTCAAGTCAATGTTTTTGTTGTGTTTTTTTTTCCCCAAGATGGCGCCTGAGTAGGCAGCCGTCGGCAACTGCTCTTCAAGAGCCTTGCATTTTTTTTTTGTTTTTGTCTTTTGTTTGTCACATGTGAGCATTCGAGATGAAATGAGATGTGCCCCACCTGATCAACACTAAACCTAAGACCGACCTTCAGAGTCATCAATCGCACCCGCATCCGGAACCTGGTCTTCCTGATCTTCATCCTCCTCAGCCTGATGAGATGCAGACACCTTTGCCTGCTTGGCTCTTCTCTCCATAACCGCCGCGTCCTTCTTCTCTTGGTCTGCCTGCTGGGGAGCCGGCATGGAGTTTTTGGGAGGTCGGCCACGTTTGCGCTTGGTTTGCAAACCCCCTGGACGCAGAACAGGGGGAGTCAGTAAAAAGATTTGAATGAGTATGCATACGCCTCACGACACAAGCGCCGATGCGTATGTGGAACTGGGAGTCGCGTCTTGGAATTGAAGCGGATTTACATGGGACAGGAGAAGAGAGCCAATCTCTTTTTCGTTAATGGATGCTACAGCTTCTTGTTGCTTTCAAGCTTAGCTTGTAGCAGACGTGTGCACATTGCAGCATGACGTCTTTGATCCACTGGTGAAAAGGACACTTTGATTCGCTCCTCTTTCATCTATTACTGCTTCAAACAACAAAGTGAATGGAGGAAAAGGGGTTAAGATGGCACGACTGTCTTTTTTATGTGTTGTGTTGTATTATTTTGTCATTTTATGTTAATTGTTCTTTTGATGGCGGTGCGGGCACCCGCAGCGGCTCCTCTTGTTGTCTTTTGTCTGTTTAAGAGAGAGGAAATTTCATCTGTGCTGTACAGCACATTTGACAATAAAGTTGTACTTGACTTGACTTGACTTGATGTTGGCATTTAATCCAGTTTCATTACAAATAGTACCAGAATACACCACAGATATAAATCTGGCATAATGTAGCATACCACCTATTATCATGTAAGCATTTCATCAATTCTCATTAGATAAAGCACCTGCATAGTGGTCAACCAGTGGCTCTTAACCTGGATTTGATCGAACCCTAAGGGTTCGGGGAATCAGTCTCAGGGGTTCGACAGAGCCTCTGCCATGGAGATTAAGACACGTCCGACTCAACATGTCAATTAGTTATGACACGCCCGCTTGGCCATCACTGGCTGGTTCATTTTGTGCACAATTAAAAAAGTATACTTTATAATTATACTAATTGCGTTTACATTTTTTCTGTTTTTAATAAATGCATTTTTTGATGTCTCGAATTTGGAAAATAAATCTTTATTTTTACAAATGAAGGGTTTGGTGAATGTGCATATGAACCGGTTGAGTTTAGTACCTCTAACAAGGTTAAGAACCACTGATGTAAACCCTTGGCAATTGGACCAATTGCGTTTTATCATCAGGCTGCTAGCCCACTCAATATTATTTTCTTATCTGAAGTTCCATATGAAGTTTGACCAAAACTTTTCAACGCTCCCGATGTTCCCGTATTCTGTCTACTTGCCACCAGCTCTACTGTCCCTCACTTTGATTATTTCCTTCGAATAAATGTTCTTTTCTTATAAGAAATTCAATAAGAATAAAGGGAAAGCTGTAAAAC